AAGTGCAAAATGGGGATATATATATATATATATATATATATATATACACACACACACACACACACACACACACACACATCACACACATACATATACCTTTGGACAGATGGATTGTTTGTGTGTCCCCAAGGACATTGGATTTAGCTGTAGAGGCCCAAAATAGCAGAGATTGAGACATATTCTTGATAGTTTATCATTGATCACAGAGTCAGAGTCTGGTAAATTCCAGGCCAACAAGTTATAGCCTCAGGAAGACAATCTGCTTGTAAAACAAGCAAAGACAAAAACCTTCCTGTCTGGTGCTTTCATTTGGGGTTTCTGGAACTCTCCCTGAGCTCTGGGAAAAGCCCATGCTCAGGTAGGAGCCAGTGTCCCTCTCTCAGTACCTCCTATCTGTCCACAAAGGAGCCCTGCAAGCTTGGGAAACGTTTCCAGTGACAAACCACCAAATAATGGCTCACAGAATATCACAGATCTAGATATCATGCATGAAGTATAATTATACCTCATAAAAGGCAATATTACTAAGTATTATATAAGGTTTTAGCATAAAGATGTCCTAAAGTACAATATCAACACCAGGACATGGCTTTTGACCAAGATTACTATACCATCCTGCTTATCAGGTAGTCATTGAGCACCACCTGGGCACCCAGCACGGCATTAGGCATTAGGTACATTCCTGATCCTTCGGCACTTACAACCAAGTTGACTAAGCTAGACATGTACTAATAAGATGATGGACGCAGTGTGATAAAGTGGAAAAAGGCCTTGACTTGGAATCTTCAGACTAGTCATAGCTCTAAATGTCACCACTTGTTAGCTGTGAAACTCAGAATTGTTGTAAGGATTTGTTTTAGATGTTATGTAAATTATGTATGGATAGAAAATATTTTTATGGTTTTGTTTTTAGAGGAGAATTCAAAATGGAGTAGAATTACTTGTCAGGTTCAATATAACCCAATAAGAAAAAACAGTGTTTTGCAAACAAATTGTCAACCATTGGTGGCTCATGAAATCAGTTTAATGGGTGGTGGTCTTTTGTTGTTGCTGTTAAGTGGAACAGAATAGAAAATATCAGAGTATATTACATGTAGTATGGGCATTTTTGTTTCAGGTAACTTTTGTCTCTACTATATATAGACTAGAGGCCTATTGTACGAAGATTCACGCTATAGGCCTTCCTTCCCCTGGCTGCTGGCACCAGTTTTCCTCCAGCACCCAGGACCCAGGCCTTTGGTCTGGCCACAGCGAGGCCTGTCTCTCCACTCTGGCTGCAGCGGAGAAGCCAAGCCTCTTCAGTCTTCAGTCATCTTCAGTCTTCAGTCGTCTTCAGTTGTCTTCAGTCTTCTCTCCATGCCTGCGTATGCAAATTAACCGCCTTCTTTGTTGGGTTAATTCGCATACTCATCCTGATTGGCTGGCGGGCATAGCTGAATAACACCAATTTGCATGTTTCTCTTTTATTAGTGTAGATTTGTAAGTATTATACTGTGATGAGAAAATAGTTTCTTAGTATGGGTCACTTTCCAAAAGTTTGGATAGCCTGGATTTTCTCTCCCTTGGCTCATCTTCTTTCAGTCTTGACCCTGGCCATTTACTATATACAGTAACTATAAGCCAGGAAAGGGCAAGTGATGGAGAGTAGACCAGTCCATAATGTGAGACTTGCAACATTTGTGTTCTTGATGCATGTGCTTGAAATGGACCTTTTCTGTCAGGGCATTCTCACAGAACCTTGACCTCTGCACTCAGGAGCTATCAGTGACACGTCCTGCCTGCATGACTTGGTGCAGCTCCACTTTAAGGCAAGGGGTGAGGGTCTTCTGGGCCAATGCTGACAGCTCTGAACCAGAGCTAAAGTCATGTCCCAGGTCACATGGGCTTTAGGAAGCCTTGCATAGAACACTCCTCGAAGCACGGATAGAGCCCATCACTTTGGGACCTCCTTCTCTGTCCCCACTTCCTATTACTCTCACACACACACACACACACACACACACACACACACATACACCAACAATCTCCTCACCCTGAGGAAGACCTAATTCTAAGGCTGGAGCAGGAACCTAATTTGAAGCCACTGGGTGTATTCTTTCCAAAGCACAAATGTTCTGTCAAGACAATTGGTTCTGGTCCTGTGATTCTGTGCACTGAATCTCTGGCTCCTCCAGAGATTTTCTGGTGACAAAGGAGCAGTTGAAACTATACTTCTACCCAGCTGGCATGGCTCAGTGGTTGAGCGTTGGCCTGTGAACCAGGAGGTGATGGTTGGATTCCTGGTCAGGACACATGCCTGGATTGTGGGCTCAATCCCTCACATTCCCAGTGAGGGGCGTGCAGGAGGCAGCCTATCAATGATTCTCTCTCAACATTGATGTTTCTGTCTCTCCCTCTCTCTTTCTCTCTGAAATCAAAATATATATATATATATTTATAGAAACTGTAGTACTTAATGAAGAACAATGATATTCTAATATTCTAAGATCATGGTCACTGACAGCAGTGACCTCATGCATGACTTGCCCAGTGTGGTCAGGTTGGGGCTGTTGTGCTTGTCCTTGACTGCCACCCACACCCAGCACTCACAGTGTATCCCCACCTTGCCAGCCTTGAGGAATCCTTCTCTCCTGAGAGCTTAGACTGGGGTCAGCAGTGGGAGTGTCCGACACCAGAGCACTGAGTTTCTAGACAGTTTCCCATGGTGCCCTGCAGCTCCCTGTGGTGACAGCACCAGCCTCAATCCCTAGTAAATTATATATCCCCACAGGATCTAAAAACTTATTCCAGGCCAGTCACTGAGCTAGGAAGTTCAGAGATACAGAGATGAATAAAGTGTGATCCAGACCCTTTAGTTGTCACAGTAGACACCTTAACTAAGGAGTTGTTGGGCTCTATAGATGGGTTTCAGGGGCTTCACGGCCTGAAGAGTGAAGTTCTGTGCAGAATTATTTGCTGGACATTTGTAGATTTTATAGTAAGAGGATACTAGCTTTTATCAGATCATCAAAGGGCAAGACTCTGTGGTCCCAACATTTTAGGAATGATGAGTTTTCTCAACTGTGATTTTTATCTATCCTCAAGAACACTCCTCGAAGCACGGATAGAGCCCATCACTTTGGGACCTCCTTCTCTGTCCCCACTTCCTATCACTCACACACACACACACACACACACACACACACCAACAATCTCCTCACCCTGAGGAAGACCTAATTCTAAGGCTGGAGCAGGAACCTAATTTGAAGCCACTGGGTGTATTCTTTCCAAAGCACAAATGTTCTGTCAAGACAATTGGTTCTGGTCCTGTGACTCTGTGCACTGAATCTCTGGCTCCTCCAGAGATTTTCTGGTGACAAAGGAGCAGTTGAAACTATACTTCTACCCAGCTGGCATGGCTCAGTGGTTGAGCGTTGGCCTGTGAACCAGGAGGTGATGGTTGGATTCCTGGTCAGGACACATGCCTGGATTGTGGGCTCAATCCCTCACATTCCCAGTGAGGGGCGTGCAGGAGGCAGCCTATCAATGATTCTCTCTCAACATTGATGTTTCTAGCTAGGAAGTTTAGAGATACAGAGATGAATAAAGTGTGATCCAGACCCTTTAGTTGTCACAGTAGACACCTTAACTAAGGAGTTGTTGGGCTCTATAGATGGGTTTCAGGGGCTTCACGGCCTGAAGAGTGAAGTTCTGTGCAGAATTATTTGCTGGACATTTGTAGATTTTATAGTAAGAGGATACTAGCTTTTATCAGATCATCAAAGGGCAAGACTCTGTGGTCCCAACATTTTAGGAATGATGAGTTTTCTCAACTGTGATTTTTATATATCCTCATATTAAGAGGAATAGCCCTATAACCCTGGATTTTAAAAAAAAATGAGGGCAAGGCCTTTTAAGTAACAGAAGCTGGCTTCTCTCTGGTTGACTGCCCAGCATCTACTCAATAAGTGGTCAGTTAGCAGATTCTAGTGACCAGAGTATCATCTCCTTAGTGGGAATATGTTTCCTGTAGAAGGTCAATCGGAAGTGCTTTAACCAAAGCTAAGGGGCTGACACTCATTTCCTGAAAATACAGTCATTG